TTATCACACCTTGCGAGAACCCCTTGTCAGAACACCTTATCACACCTTGTGAGAACACCTTGTCAAAACACCTTATCACACCTTGTCAAAACACTTTATCACACCTTGTGGCACCTTGTCACAACACCTTGTCAGAACACCTTATCACACCTTGTCAGAACACCTTATCACACCTTGTCAGAACACCTTGTCTATCCAGCTGGCAATTGTTTCACAACATTTCGTCATTAATGATTCGAATAATGTCCTAGTCATTTCAAAGTGTGGTTACATCAGAATCTGCTTTTGATTACAAATAACAAATGGTGACATCATTGGGGAAATCATTGCTCTTCGAAGAACGGGGTCCAAGAACGCCGCTAGATTATTGAGATCTGCATATGCGTGCAGCCAAAGCGTGTTTCATAACAGCACTGTGTCGACATTGTCCATACAAAGCAGTGCAGTACAATACCTTCAGTGTTAAACCAAGACGTATTTGAGATCAAAGAAAGGTATATACAAAGGTCTGTATAGCATAATTTCAGTTCAACGTTGCACGCTATGCTAATTCGTTCCCGTTTTCGTTCCTTAACAGGGTGTTTGGTGTGTCCGGCACATTAACAAGTTTAAATATTGTCGATAATGTTGGTCGCACAGCAGCTGTTTTCGTTCTAAACATTTGTCACGCCACTCTAACGCCGCGGCCAACAATGCTGATTGATCCAATAGAAGCCGTTCGTTGTGTTATATAACATAATTCAAGGTCGGCACTGCTAGTTCAAGTAAGGTTTGTTTTATAAACAAGTTTCACCTGACTTTCGCATATTTGCTTGCGAGCCATCGTGTATGCTTGGTAAGTCTCACTTGAGTTTACGTCATAATATTCGGCAAATACAGGCGCCATTGTGACGTCATATTACGTTCATAATTATATTTACTTCCTTTTTTACATTTTTTATTTCTGTTGCATTTTGACAGTAGCACATACATATTAAACTTCATAATAACTAACAAAAAGGTAAATGGCAACTTGACCAGTATTATAAAACATGTCGATATTAGAGTTTATGGAGGCTGCATATTTAGTCATTCTGTAATAGTCAGTTAGCTGCCTTTGGATTTCTGGCATTTTCTTTGTGAACTTCTGGTGAATGAATTATGTTTTGTTATAAATGTGATGATGTTAAGTGGGTTATTATTTCTTTCGGCACAGTCAAGGAAAACAATTTCTTCTGACATATTTATATTTATCTGAGCTTCGGATAACAGCCAATTTTTCAAATCATTCCAAACGGAGCGTATATTATGGCATTCCCACAACAAATGGAATATAGATTCCTTTTCTGTAGAACAAAAGCTGCATAAATCGCTTTCAACCCTATTTTATAAAGGCAAGAATTTGTGGGTAAGATATGATGCAAAATCTGATACTGGAACCATTGAAACTTGGTATAAAATTCTACCTGGTGCGTTCTCTATTGTTTATACCCTGGGATATAATCTCCTCTCCCATTTCACGAAATTTGGGATTTACACTGATCAATGCTTGTGGATCAATGTTTTGTACAAATATTCTAAACCTTTCTGAGTTTTCGATAAATGAGCAACGTGAAATGGATGTAACTTTAGGATTTTTGTTCATTTTTACTATATTTTGTTTCCTTCGATATTGTTTGATAGATTGTACAATGCCTAAATAATCTAAGTAGTTTATGACAATGGAGTTTCGCTTACAAGAGTCTCTAGAGTCTCTATAGGCGTAAACGTTACTGTTACTTGATACAAACAAATATCACTACGCAAGACTTGGCAGTCGTGTAGATGATTCGGGTCTTTCAGGGGTACACAATTCATATTTTGAACAATACTTGTGTTGTACTTGTGCATGTATTTTGACGTCCACGGCAAAGGAACACTTAAAGTAGGTCGCCTAATACCTTACAACTGTGTCTTCCTTGACTTTATAGAAACGAGTGTGCAGATGTCCACCTGTGGCACGCTACCACATATACTACCCATCAAAAGTTTAGACTCACTAGTGTGAATGTAGTCACTTACTTCAGTCAAAAATGTAGATTTTGCAAAATATTCCATACAGTTTAAAGGTACTGTTTACACATGAACTGATGTATTGTAAAACAAATTCGTAACGTTCAGAGATTTTTGTCATGAGTTCAATAAATGATGAAACTCAGTGAAAATTGGCGAATTGTTAACAAAACTCTACACCAAAACGCAGCTGTTCACATGCACGATATTTGCACATGCTTTCCAGCAATTTGATGCATGATCCTCATGCAATTCATCTGCATCTAAGGTTTGCAGTTGGTTCCCTCGAGTAAGGGGAGAAATTCATCTTCGATGTAACCACGTATATATACATAACTTATAGTGAATGTTTTAGGAGAGTCTAAACTTTTGATGGGTAGTATAGTACAGTACACAGTGTTGATGTCATACCTAGTCATCATCAGGTGGCCAATGACCTGATGCAGTGTTGATGTCATACGTAGTCATCCTGAGGTGGCCAATGAACTGATTCAGTGTTGATGTCATACGTAGTCATCCTGAGGTGGTCAATGCCCTGATTCAGTGTTGATGTTATACGTAGTCATCCTGAGGTGGCCAATGAACTGATTCAGTTTTGTTGTCATACATAGTCATCCTGAGGTGGCCAATGCCCTGATTCAGTGTTGATGTATACGTAGTCATCCTGAGGTGTGATGACCTGATTCAGTGTTGATGTCATACGTAGTCATCCTGAGGTGGCCAATGAACTGATTCAGTTTTGATGTCATACATAGTCATCCTGAGGTGGCCAATGCCCTGATTCAGTGTTGATGTTATACGTAGTCATCCTGAGGTGGCCAATGAACTGATTCAGTTTTGATGTCATACATAGTCATCCTGAGGTGGCCAATGCCCTGATTCAGTGTTGATGTTATACGTAGTCATCCTGAGGTGGCCAATGACCTGATTCAGTGTTGATGTCATACGTAGTCATCCTGAGGTGGCCAATGACCTGATTCAGTGTTGATGTTATACCTAGTCATCCTGAGGTGGTCAATGACCTGATTCAGTGTTGATGTCATACGTAGTCATCCTGAGGTGGCCAATGACCTGATTCAGTGTTGATGTTATACGTAGTCATCCTAAGGTGGTCAATGACCTGATTCAGTGTTGATGTCATAGGTAGTCATCCTAAGGTGGTCAATGACCTGATTCAGTGTTGATGTTATACGTAGTCATCCTAAGGTTATACGTAGGCATCCATGTACAACCAATGACCTGATTCAGTGTTGATGTCATACATAGTCATCATCGAGGGGCCAATGACCTGATTCAATGTTGATGTTATACGTAGTGATTCTGAGGTGGCCAATGACCTGATTCAGTGTTGATGTTATACGTAGTGATTCTGAGGTGGCCAATGACCTGATTCAATGTTGATGTCATACGTAGTGATTCTGAGGTGGCCTATGACCTGATTCAGTGTTGATGTTATACCTAGTCATCCTGAGGTTGCCAATGACCTGATTCAGTGTTGATGTCATACGTAGTGATTCTGAGGTGGCCAATGACCTGACATACATAGTTATCCTAAGATTTGGCACTGAGTTATTTTCTAGTTCAGTGACACATACCCCTCTCTCTCTCTCCTTCTCTCTCTCACTCGATCTCTCTCTCTCTCTCCCTCTCTCTCTCTCCCTCTCTCTCTCTCTCTCTCTCTCTCTCTCTCTCTCTCTCTCTCTCTCTCTCTCTCTCTCTCTCTCTCTCGGCAAACGTTCCTCTGCATAATTCAGCGGCCACCGCCTGGAACAGTCCACCACACGTCATGCAATGTAGGAATCTTAGAGCAGTTAGATTCAGACCTCTCTCTGCAGATGTCTCATGTGACAAGCGCCATCTTATCTTCCTGATTTAATTCCTGTATATGTCCAAGACAGACCACTCCGTCCAGAGGTGAACGACGTGCTAGTTACATCAATTGTCCGTACATCACACTCATGACTCCTGGTTTCAGAGGACAATTATTTTGATATCCTAATTACTAATCAATATTTGCAAAGGATCACCACCTTAACGGATACTACGTCAGAAGGTGTGCATTTTGTGAACCAGGAGCTTGAGTGTGGGGTTTATGTCGATAGATGATGTGGGTTTGTTTGTTTTTTAGTTTTTTGTTGTTTGGTTGGTGTTTGTTTTTGCAAAAATGGTAAATACAACTGATTTTTCAGTTTGTTACATAAGCTAATCAGTTATTTTGGAAATGCATGGCAAGGCTTGTAGAAGAACGTCCTGAATGTTGTGATAAATGTACTCAAAGACTCACAATTATGTACAAAAATGACATACTTCAATAGCACTATCTCCAAAATACTATCATTGTGTTGTAATTAATAACAATGATAAATAATAATCAGGGCATTTGTAACGTGCTGAAGTCCGCACCATGGAGGGGCCGGCTTACATCGCTACAATCTCAGTATTATTACCCCGGATATCCGGATTAAAACAGTTTTGAAGTCTTTTGATACCTATCTTGTGTCAATAAACATTTCCGTTTTTCAGCTGCCTAGCAAGAAATAATTAAATGCCGAATGAAAGGAGAATGTATAAAATGTGTAATTTAGTTTACGGAAGAGGAATAGCGCTTTGTCCTCAAATGACCAGTTTATTGAAGTCTACCTGCTACCTCTTTGTACTGATCTCCCAATAGCTGTAAATTCAATGAATTAATGGACTCTGTAAATGCCGATGTAAATGCCTTCAACAACTTTATTCACTTCAAGCCTTGAAGTTAGAAAATAAACATATGTGACATGAACCATTGAATATTGTTTCTGTCTATTCCTTCAATGTACCAAACTATAACGGTCATTTCAGTATTACTGCAATAAGTTGAACTTTTGAAAAACAAAATAATCAAGAAGATGAAAGTTAAATACACGTAATCGCGAACACGCCAACAGTAATATTTTTAGCGGCCAGTCGCAAGAATAGGGCAAGTGGAGTAAGCTCCCTTTAGAGGAAGGGTGGTAACTCTGTGTGGCATAGGTGAGACTGTTTCTCATGTCGGAGTCTCATGTTCTGGTTTTGAATCTGACATTGCGCATCTGTGAAAGGTAGTTTGAATTGTTTGTTGAAATACCAGTGACCTGTGTGTATACAAGACATAACACGATGCTAAACAGGATAAAGCAAAATTCGTTGAATGAGGATTATGCTCACTCAACCACAGGAGATTGTAACGCAAAAAACTAGCGTCAACGCATATCTATATTGTCTCAGACGTTGTGTGAGCACAAGACCCCGTTACTGACAATATATACCGTGATACCAGTTTTTTAGCGTGACAAACCGCTATGGATGCACAAATACCGATAAATCACCATGGAAGCTGAACAACAAGCTGACACCTACTACACAATCGTGGGCAATACATATGACAGTACATCGTTAGGTGCTAACTCATATTAATCTCCGTGTTGAACTGGATGCAGCATGAACTTGTATAGAAATCTGTCTTTTTCTACATTTCGTGCTCGATATGATTGAACATGCTGAGTGCACATTTATGACACTTTAGCATGTTAAGACCGTGCTCCTTAGCTTGTTAGCATGTCGGGAATGCACTTTCTGTCTCTATACTATATCACTGACACACCCCAGCCAGTGATATGGACTTTCACTGCTTTGGGCATTAGCTGCAAACGTTGAAATTTGTATGGCCAGTGCTGACAAACCTATTCACTCAGGACACGATTGTTTTACACTTTTTCATGACAGTGTAAAACAGTGAACAAAGGCCTTCTTCTCTCTCATCTCGTCATATTGTCCATACTACCTCATATTGTCCATACTACGTCATATTGTCATACTACGTCATATTGTCCATACTACGTCATATTGTCCATACTATCTGGGGTTCAGGGTCGCTGCGAACAATAATGCCCAGCTGAAACAGTCAACATAATACGGCCATAATACACATAACACTGAGAGCCAGCAGAATTGCCCTGAACCTCGCTTACAAGTAGATTACTGTCGGACAAAGATTTGTACAATTGTGCAGAGTTGTACACTAAAACTATTATCATTATTCACTTAGCCAGAAAATCCTGGATAAAAAATTACACATGGAATTGTACCAGATGGATAAACATTTCTCTGTACAAAAATTACATGTTAGGCACTTGCTCAACATGATATGTCTAAACTTCAGTAAGTATCTGTCTTGTACTTGTTGAAATCATGATTTTAGGGGATCATTGTTTGAGTTTTACCAAAACATTGGCAGCCTTTGTTCAGGATTCCGGTTTTCAGCTAGTCCCTAACACCTGTTGGAGTGAAATACATGTGATAATCAATCATTGATTAATGAAGCAGGCATGTCAGATCATGTTGACTTTGAATTTGTAAGTATGGTACCTATACACTGTTTTGTTAGAAACTGCTACATGATTCCCAAGCCATGCATGCATTCATTAACAAATAAGAAATGATAGCCCTGCAACTGCAAAGTAACTGTTAATATACAAATATCCAGAAAATTGTTAAATGACTTAAAACTAATATGTACATGACTATGAAATGCAATATAATGTATCTGCCACAATAGTTGATATGTATTCCACTCAATCCATGATTCAATATGTGTTTACCTTCCCACCAATATATACATGTATTGTCATACATCCATACTTTGGCATGGTGTGGCATGTTGGGACTGCATCACCTTGTGGAAATATATATTTTTAATGAACATTTAACACACAATATTCATTATATGTCGGACATGTTTGAAATCTCAGATGCAAGTCCATACAAAGGCAGGACTAATGCAGGTCACAAAGAAACACTTTGGAGATAACATGTTCACAGAAGGCACATGATGAATGTACCTGATGATATCTTCTCAGATGACCCTTGATGAATATGCCTGATATGTTCACAGATGACCCATGATGAATGTACCTGATGATATGTTCACAGATGACCCGTGATGAATATGCCTGATATGTTCACAGATGACCCATGATGAATATACCTGATGATATGTTCACAGATGACCCATGATGTATATACCTGATGATATGTTCACAGATGACCCATGATGAATATACCTGATGATATGTTCACAGATGACCCATGATGTATATACCTGATGATATGTTCACAGATGACCCATGATGTATATACCTGATGATATGTTCACAGATGACCCATGATGAATATGCCTGATGATATGTTCACAGATGACCCATGATGAATATACCTGATGATATGTTCACAGATGACCCATGATGAATATACCTGATGATATGTTCACAGATGACCCATAAAGTGACACAGCTAATGAGGCATTCTGCGCCAGCATTGATGTCGCCATGGTAACCAGTTCTGATGCTTCCCACGGAGCGCCACGCCTTGTACCTGGTGGTACCTGCCAACATCCTGTACACACTTGCAGCTGTCACACACTCATGGTTCGAGCTGCCACCTCACAGCTTCTACGGCCTGTGGTGGGTACAGTTCTGTGACTACCTGCGCTGTCAGATTATACCAGCATTCTACTCTGAGGAACCAGGTTTGTGTGAACTCATGTGCATGATGGCTCTTTCCCACCCAGCAATATTTCCCTGCCACACAAACTCACCCTATACTGGTGCCTTGGCACACAACCTCACCCTATACTTGGACCCTGCCACACAACCTCACCCTATAGTTGGACCCTGCCACACAACCTCACCCTATAGTTGGACCCTTCCACACAAACTCACACTGTACTGGTGCCCTCGCACACAAACTCACACTATACTGGGACCCTGCCATACAACTCATCCTATACTGGACCCTGACACACAACCTCAGCCTATACTGGGACCCTGGGACACAACCTCACCCTATACTGAGACACAACTTCACCCTGTACTGGTACCCTGCCACACAACCTCACCCTATACTGGGACCCTAACACACACCCTCACCCTATATTGGGACCCTGACACACAACATCACCCTATACTGGGACCCTGACACACAACCTCACCCTATACTGGGACCCTGACACACACCCTCACCCTATGCTGGGACCCTAACACACACCCTCACCCTATACTGGGACCCTGACACACAACATCACCCTATACTGGGACCCTGACACACAACCTCACCCTATACTGGGACCCTGACACACACCTCACCCTATACTGGGACCCTGACACACAACCTCACCCTATACTGGGACCCTGACACACAACCTCACCCTATACTGGGACCCTGACACACAACCTCACCCTATACTGGGACCCTGACACACAACCTCACCCTATGTTGGGACCCTGCCACACACCCTCACCCTATACTGGGACCCTGATACACAACCTCAGCCTATGTTGGGACCCTGGCACACAACCTCACCCTATGCTGGGACCCTGACACACAACCTCACCCTATACTGGGACCCTGACACACAACATCACCCTATACTGGGACCCTGACACACAACCTCACCCTATACTAGGACCCTGACACACACTCATCACCTCCTATACTGGGACCCTGACACACAACCCTCACCCTATACTGGGACCCTGACACACAACATCACCCTATACTGGGACCCTGACACACAACCTCACTCCTATACTGGGACCCTGACACACCCTATATACTGGGACCCTGACACACACAACCCTCACCCTATCACCCTGGGACCCTGACACACAACCTCACCCTATACTGGGACCCTGACACACAACATCACCCTATACTGGGACCCTCACACATACTGGGACCCTCACCCTATACTGGGACCCTGACACACAACCTCACCCTATACTGGGACCCTGACACACAACCTCACCCTATACTGGGACCCTGACACACAACCTCACCCTATACTGGGACCCTGACACACACCCTCACCCTATACTGGGACCCTGACACACAACCTCACCCTATACTGGGACCCTGACACACAACCTCACCCTATACTGGGACCCTGACACACAACCTCACCCTATACTGGGACCCTGACACACAACCTCACCCTATACTGGGACCCTGACACACAACCTCACCCTATACTGGGACCCTGACACACACCCTATAACCTCACCCTATACCCTATACTGGGACCCTGACACACAACTCACCCTATACTGGGACCCTGACACACACTCACCTCCTATACACACAACCTCACCCTGCTGGGACCCTGACACACAACCTCACCCTATACTGGGACCCTGACACACAACCTCATCCTATACTGGGACCCTGACACACAACGTCACCCTATACTAGGACCCTGACACACAATCTCACCCTATACTAGGACCCTGACACACAACCTCACACTATAGTAGGACCCTGTCACGCAAACTCACCCTATACTTAGTGACCAGGACACACAACATCATCCTATACTGGGACCCTGACACACAACCTCACCCTATACTAGGACCCTGACACACAACCTCACCCTATACTGGGACCCTGACACACAACCTCATCCTATACTGGGACCCTGACACACAACCTCACCCTATACTGGGACCCTGACACACAACCTCACCCTATACTGGGACACTGACACACAACCTCACCCTATACTGGGACCCTGACACACAACCTCACCCTATACTAGGACCCTGACACACAACCTCACCCTATACTGGGACCCTGACACACAGCTCACCCTATACTAGGACCCTGACACACAGCTCACCCTATACTGGGACCCTGACACTCTCACACTGTACTGGACCCTGACACACAACCTCACCCTATACTAGGGCCCTGACACACAAACTCACCCTATACTAGGACCCTGACACACAACCTCACCCTATACTATCGCCCTCTCACACAACCTCACCCTATACTAGGACCCTGACACACAAACTCACCTATACTAGGACCCTGACACACAACTCACCCTATACTAGGACCCTGACACACAACCTCACCCTATACTGGGACCCTGACACACAACCCTCACCCTATACTAGGACCCTGACACACAACCTCACCCTATACTGGGACCCTGACACACAACCTCACCCTATACTGGGACCCTGACACACACCTCACCCTATACTGGGACCCTGACACACACACTCTAACCTCACCCCCTGCCTATACTAGGACTCTGACACACAACCTCACCCTATACTAGGACCCTGACACACAGCTCACCCTATACTATGACCCTGACACACAGCTCACCCTTTACTGGGACCCTGACACACAAACTCACCCTATACTATCGCCCTCTCACACAACCTCACCCTATACTATCGCCCTCTCACACAACCTCACCCTATAAGACATGTTGGTATTGATGTGTACTTATGTTTCAGTGTGGTACCATGTGCTGCAGGGTCTCAGTTTGCTGGGATGGGGAGCGCTCTCCCTGTCGATGCTGCTGCTAATTTCCACACGACTAGATAAATGCCTCCCAGAGCAGTTTGTGAAAAGCAAGCGTCAGCTGACTATATCTGGGGTTTGTCTTGTTTCTGGTGAGTTCTGTTTGATTATTGCATTTTCACCTCTGTCTTTCACAAAAGTGAAATCATGAGCTTCTTGTTTTGTTTTTTAAAACATTTCCACAAGTATTTATTTAATGAATATGGGTTCATCTCAAAACTGAAGGAATTAAGTTTTGGAACTGCACCCTCAATAACATCTAAATAGTGGTGTGCTGCAATGGAGGAAAGGGAGGCAACTCTGTGACTTGAGCCTTCCCTGTTCCTCTGTATTCTTGAGTTGATACAAAACATGCAGCCTGCTTGATTTAAAACTGTGTGCTGTGAAAATATGGAAATAATCAACTCATTTAATTTAAGATTATTTTTCAGGCATCACGTTTTTTAGGGATTATGATTTTTTGTTGCTACCTTTTGTATACCTTTGTTAGATATCTGACATTCTGTTTCCATGATTCATTTGAATTGAAGAGCAAGTTGTTGGTTCTCTTATGTTTTGCTCATAGAGGTGTAATAAAAATGTTTTTGGTGTGAAGATAACTTTCCACATGTGACCACCATGCAGCTGACTGTCCCATAATGCCTCAGTGGTCTAGAGCACCTGAACGCCTCACCTCAGCCCAGAACTGTCTAAGAAAATGTTTGCTACAATAATCTAAGAATGTTCAAAATGTTAACCTTAATTGTGCATGAGTACTTGAGGTATTCTGTTCACCAGCAGCTAAGCGTTCCGTTAAGGTATTCTGTTCACCAGCAGCTAAGCATTCCGTTTTTCTTTCAGTGTTTGCGATCTCCTCCAGTCTGGTTGTGTTCTATGCGAAGCTGGATGAATCCAGTCCAGCCATGCACCCTCAGATCTCCTGGTCTGCCATGTTGGCAGGGACTGCCTGTCTGTTTGAACTTCTCGCTGGTATCATGTTGATGCAAGTGCCGACGTTCACGATATGATCTGTGTACACTCTGTGTGGCTGCTGGGGCTGTGTGTATATATATGTACATGATCACAGAAGAGATACTGTGGTTGATGAGGACGTTCACGATATGATCTGTGTACACTCTGTGTGGCTGCTGGGGCTGTGTGTATATATATGTACATGATCACAGAAGAGATACTGTGGTTGATGAGGACGTTCACGATATGATCTGTGTACACTCTGTGTGGCTGCTGGGGCTGTGTGTATATATATGTACATGATCACAGAAGAGATACTGTGGTTGATGAGGACGTTCCGCCGACTCCGGGTAGAAACTGAATGTAACCATGGATGCTGAATACAAATCAAAATGTTGGTCATATGTCAAGTCACCATCACTGATGTTTGAAGATAGTATCTGTTACATTTTATTTCATTTTGCGAAAGAAGTGATGCATCTTTAAGATGTTTGCCATGTTGACGTAAACCTGCTTGCATGTGTACATTTCAGTTTTGTTGGCGTGTTGAGGAGTGTACAGGAAGATCTGTTGTCATGTAATAACACACATGGAACCCTCACTCGCTGGAACCTCATAAATCCTGGATTCTGTGTCATCTGTGGCCATGCTGAATATGTCGATGCCAAGTTTACCAAGCAGTTCTTGCCAAACAAAAAGCAATCTTGCACTGACTGAAAGTGATACTTGTTCGAGTGTAGAATTTCACTGTAAGTGAAGTAAAATATATAAACAGTATCACATTTTGTGTAGCTATGCTTGAGACAACTGAGTAGAAACAGATGACGTAGACTTTCCAGATGGTACCAGCATTACAGATGGCTGTCAGACCCCAGAAAAAGTGTTAGATATGTCAAGTGAGTACAATGTCAGGGGTCTCCAGTCAGTACAATGTCAGGGGTCTCCAGTCAGTACAATGTCAGGGTCTCAAGTCAGTACAATGTCTGGGTCTCCAGTCAGTACAATATCTGGTGTGTCCAGTGAGTACAATGTCAGGATCTCCAGTCAGTACAATGTCAGGGTGTCCAGTCAGTACAATGTCTGGGATTTCCCGACAATACAAAATGTGACTTTGCCTCATTTAACGGCTCCTGCTCACAACTTGGTGTACACAGTAGGCAACTCGTGAGGAGTCAGTATGTCACACACTAAGAGAAATGAATATGGTTTTTTCATAAGCACTGAAGATATTTTAAATATCGACTTGATCACCTTTGATTATCTCCCTTTGCTAGAACAAGTTATCTCCCTTTGCAGGCCATGTTCTACTAATGATGGCGGTTAAACCTGTAGTTGAGACCATTCATTACTCAGGTCAAACTGTAGCCATGAAATTGCTTGAATGCCTCTCAGCCTGTGTCTGATGTTCTCCGTCCCTCCATTGTGAATAGTGCACATACACAGGTACTGTTTCTTTGCCAAGTATTTGCATCTTTATTGTTTCCAATCTATTTATGAAGTGACTCAATGCAAAGCCAATGAAAATTCATTAGCTGTGTACAAACCAGCCTTTTTATTTGGTTCACAATGTTTTAGTAGACGTTGAGTGCCTCCAAGTCAACAACACATGATGCTCACACTCAAGTTGTGCATCATGATCTGAGATTTCATTAAACTTGTCCCAAACACCTTTGTGTTATTGTTACAATGTGAATACAGCAAGTTCCATCTGTAGAATATTGTACTTGCCCTATACACCTGTACATCATTACGATGTGCGTTTACAGCTAGTAGCATCTGTAGAATATTGTACTTGCCCCAAACACCTGTACATCGATACAATGTGCGATTACAGCAAGTTCCATCTGTAGAATATTGTACTTGCCCCAAACACCTGTACATCGATACGATGTGCGATTACAGCAAGTAGCATCTGTAGAATATTGTACTTGCCCCAAACACCTGTACATCGATACAATGTGCGATTACAGCAAGTACCATCTGTAGAATATTGTACTTGCCCCAAACACCTGTACATCGTTACGATGTGCGATTACAGCAAGTACCATCTGTAGAATATTGTACTTGCCCCAAACACCTGTACATCGATACGATGTGCGATTACAGCAAGTACCATCTGTAGAATATTGTACTTGCCCCAAACACCTGTACATCGATTACGATGTGCAATTACACCTGTACACAAGTAGCATCTGTAGAATATTGTACTTGCCCCAAACACCTGTACATCGTTACGATGTGCGATTGCGCATGTAGAATATTGCAAGTACCCAAACATCTGTAGCATTACAGCAATCCATCTTGAATATTGTACTTGCCCCAAACACCTGTACATCATTACGATGTGCGATTACAGCAAGTAGCATCTGTAGAATATTGTACTTGCCCCAAACACCTGTACATCGATACGATGTGCAATTACAGCAAGTACCATCTGTAGAATATTGTACTTGCCCCAAACACCTGTACATCGTTACGATGTGCGATTACAGCAAGTAGCATCTGTAGAATATTGTACTTGCCCCAAACACCTGTACATCGATACGATGTGCAATTACAGCAAGTAGCATCTGTAGAATATTGTACTTGCCCCAAACACCTGTACATCGATACGATGTGCGATTACAGCAAGTAGCATCTGTAGAATATTGTACTTGCCCCAAACACCTGTACATCGATACGATGTGCGATTACAGCAAGTACCATCTGTAGAATATTGTACTTGCCCCAAACACCTGTACATCGTTACGATGTGCGATTACAGCAAGTAGCATCTGTAGAATATTGTACTTGCCCCAAACACCTGTACATCGATACGATGTGCAATTACAGCAAGTACCATCTGTAGAATATTGTACTTCCCCAAACACCTGTACATCGATACGATGTGCAATTACAGCAAGTACCATAGGGTCCCTGCAGACCACAGAGTCCCTGTACGTTATTGTGATGTGAGATTGATGTGATGTTGTTGTGTATTTCTGATGGAGATGGTGATGGTATTGTGTTGTGGGAGGAGTGATTTTGTTTGGAGATGATATATTTTTCAGTCAAAGTAATATGTCCAGATATTCTTTTAAACTAACCTGTGAGCCTGAATTTGTCCTGAGAAAAACATCTTGCAAAAATGTAATTTCTGTGGAAGACAGTTTCGCTATTATTAAAGCATAATAAGTTTTTCACAGATTTTCTGGAACAATTACTTTTTTCCACCCCCTCCCAAGGAATGCCGGAATATCAGCTGGTCTGTCACAGAGGATGATGTGTCACTGTGACATATGCCACAGAGGATGATGTGTCACTGTGACATGTGCCACACGGGAATTATCTCATCTTAATCATGTGCAACTATATATTTTGGACACACTTGTGTATTTGCTGTTTGCTCTTTGTGTTTGCAGTTTTCTGTTATGAATGAAAATTGTGCAGATGTGTGACTTGAAAATAAAATCTTTATACCAACTGATGTCATTGTTATATTTATATAATCCTCCAAAAGTGGACTTTCATCTAGATTCCTGGGCGAGAAAGTGGCCAGTTTGAGACGGGAAATATCAGTCATACTGAGTAGTGAGACACTGGGAGGGATGTGAGAGATGTCAGTCACACTGTGTGGTGAGACTCGGGGAGGGATGGAGATGTCAGGATGGTGAGAGAGATGTGAGAGATGTCAGTGACACTGTGTGGTGAGACTCGGGGAGGGATGTGAGAGATGTCAGTGACACTGTGTGGTGAGACTCGGGGAGGGATGTGAGAGATGTCAGTCACACTGTGTGGTGAGACACTGGGAGGGATGTGAGATGGATGTGAGAGATGTCAGTGACACTGTGTGGTGAGACACTGGGAGGGATGTGAGAGATGTCAGTGACACTGTGTGGTGAGACACTGGGAGGGATGTGAGAGATGTCAGTGACACTGTGTGGTGAGACACTGGGAGGGATGTGAGAGATGTCAGTGACAGTGACACTGTGTGGTGAGACACTGGGAGGGATGTGAGAGATGTCAGTGACACTGTGTGGTGAGACACTGGGAGGGATGTGAGAGATCAGTCAGTGACATGTGAGAGGGATGTGTGGTGAGACACTGGGAGGGATGTGAGAGATGTCAGTGACACTGTGTGGTGAGACTCAGGGAGGGATGTGAGAGATGTCAGTGACACTCTGTGGTGAGACACTGGGAGGGATGTGAGAGATGTCAGTGACACTGTGTGGTGAGACACTGGGAGGGATGTGAGAGATGTCAGTGACACTGTGTGGTGAGACACTGGGAGGGATGTGAGAGATGTCAGTCACACTGTGTGGTGAGACACGGGGAGGGATGTGAGAGATGTCAGTGACACTGTGTGGTGAGACCCGGGAGGGATGTGAGAGATGTCAGTGACACTGTGGTGAGACACTGGGAGGGATGTGAGAGATGTCAGTGACAGTGAGACACTGTGTGGTGAGACTCTGGGAGGGATGTGAGAGATGTCAGTGACACTGTGTGGTGAGACACTGGGAGGGATGTGAGAGATGTCAGTGACATGTCAGTCACACTGTGTGGTGAGACTCGGGGAGGGATGTGAGAGATGTCAGTGACACTGTGTGGTGAGACTCGGGAGGGATGTGAGAGATGTCAGTGACACTGTGGTGAGACACTGGGAGGGATGTGAGAGATGTCAGTGACACTGTGTGGTGAGACTGGGAGGGATGTGAGAGATGTCAGTGACACTGTGTGGTGAGACACTGGGAGGGATGTGAGAGATGTCAGTCACACTGTGTGGTGAGACACTGGGAGGGATGTGAGAGATGTCAGTGACACTGTGTGGTGAGACTCGGGGAGGGATGTGAGAGATGTCAGTGACACTGTGTGGTGAGACTCGGGGAGGGATGTGAGAGATGTCAGTGACACTGTGTGGTGAGACTCGGGGAGGGATGTGAGAGATGTCAGTGACACTGTGGTGAGACACTGGGAGGGATGTGAGAGATGTCAGTGACACTGTGTGGTGAGACACTGGGAGGGATGTGAGAGATGTCAGTGACACTGTGTGGTGAGACACTGGGAGGGATGTGAGAGATGTCAGTGACACTGTGTGGTGAGACACTGGGAGGGATGTGAGAGATGTCAGTGACACTGTGGTGAGACACTGGGAGGGATGTGAGATGGTGAGACACAGTGACACTGTGGTGAGACGGGGGGGATGGGAGGGACACTGTGTGGTGAGAGAGATGTCAGTGACACTGTGTGGTGAGACACTGGGAGGGATGTGAGAGATGTCAGTGTGAGAGACCGGGGAGGGATGTGAGATGTCAGTGACACTGTGTGGTGAGGGACTGAGAGGGGAGGGATGTGAGAGATGTCAGTGACACTGTGTGGTGAGACTCGGGGAGGGATGTGAGAGATGTCAGTGTCGGGAAGGGATGTGAGAGATGTCAGTCAGACACTGGTGAGACTGAAGACACTGGGAGGGATGTGAGAGATGTCAGTGACACTGTGGTGAGACACTGGGAGGGATGTGAGAGATCAGTGACACTGTGTGGTGAGACTGGGAGGATGTGAGAGATGTCAGTGACACTGTGTGGTGAGACACCTGTGTGGGGACTCTGGGAGGGATGTGAGAGATGTCAGTGACACTGTGTGGTGAGACTCGGGGAGGGATGTGAGAGATGTCAGTCACACTGTGTGGTGAGACTCGGGGAGGGATGTGAGAGATGTCAGTGACACTGTGTGGTGAGACACTGGGAGGGATGTGAGAGATGTCAGTGACACTGTGTTGTGAGACACTGGGAGGGATGTGAGAGATGTCAGTGACACTGTGTGGTGAGACACTGGGAGGGATGTGAGAGATGTCAGTCACACTGTGTGGTGAGACACTGGGAGGGATGTGAGAGATGTCAGTGACACTGTGGTGAGATACTGGGAGGATGTGGGAGATGCCAGTCACACTGTGTGGTGAGGCACTGGGAGGGTTGTGAGAGATGTCAGTGACACTGTGTGGTGACACAATGGGAGGGTTTAAGAGACGTCAGTGAGATGTGATGGGATGGTTGCTGTGATGTTGGCTTGACATGACGTGACACGATAACGACCGGCTCGTGTCTAGCCCTGCTGTAGATGACTTCTCCGGACAGATGATGCTTTGGTGCAATGAACATATCTGGCAACGTATGTCTGCATCAGCCATGTTTGTACAACCGTACACGCGCGTTGACCTCTATTTTAAGCCTTTAATGTCAATATCGTTCATTGTACCGACCAGTTATATATTTTGATTTTTGCTGGGCTCTAACACTAGTATTTTCGTATATTCATGGGGTACAGTCATATTCGAATTATTATAAACGCTCACACGTTATGTTACACATAGAATAGTATAGCATACGAGAGGTGTCCCAAATATGCGATCTATATGAAAATTGTTGTCCTTATTTTTCAACATAATCTGCCTTCTCTTCAATGCACTTGTTCTATCGTTTCTCTAGCATATTTAACCCATCTGAAAACCACTGTTTGTCACGTGACCCTAAAAACTCCTCCACAGCAATGATAACCTCCCAGTCCGTCTCAAATCTGCAGAGGATAGATTTGAGTTCAGGAAGAGAAGAAAGTCAGAAGGGGCAAGATCTGGAGAAGAGGCTGGGTGTGGGAGAATCTTGAAGCCAGTCCTGTGTAGCACCCGCGGCCACTC